AGAGAAAATGATAGTTCCACAGTAATAGTAGGAGACTTCAACACATCACTCTTGATAAAGGACAGAACATCTAGAAAGAAACTCAACAAAGATACAGAAGATCTAAAGGCCACAATCAACCACCTTGACCTCACAGACATATATAGAACACTTCACCCAACACCTGCAATGTACACATTCTTTTCCAAGGCACATGGAACTTTCTCCAGAATAGACCACATCTTAGGTCACAAAGCAACCCTCAATAAGATCCAAAACACTGAGATAACACAAAGTATCTTCTCTGACCACAACACCATCAAAGTAGAAATTAAAAACAGGAAGAGCAAGGAAAAAATTCAAATACATGGAAAGTGAATAACACCCTCCTTAAAAACCACTGGGTAACAGAAGAAATCAAAGATGGAATCAAAAAATTCCTAGAATAAAAAAAGAATGAAAACACTTCATACCAAAACCTTTGGGACTCAGCACAGGGAGTGCTCAGAAGTCAATTTATAGCAATAGATTCACACATCAAAAAAGAAGAAAGCGACAAAATCAAAACATTAGCTACACAACTGGAACAAATAGTGAATAGCAAAAGAAGCCCACAGCCACCATAAGAAAGGAAATAATAAAGACCAGAGCAGAAATAAATGAAATAGAGAATAGAAAAACAATAGAAAGAATCAACAAAACCAAAAGTTGGTTCTTTGAAAAGATCAACAAAATCAACAAACCACTGGCCAGAATGACAAAAGAAAAACAGGAGAGGATGCAAATAACCTAAATAGGAAGTGAAATGGGGGACATTACAACAGACCCTACTGAAATAAAAAGGATTATAATAGAGTATTATGAAAAACTATACACCAATGAATTTGAAAACCTAGAGGAAATGAATAAATTTCTAGAAACACACTACCTACCCAAACTAACACAGTGATGTTGAAAATCTGAATGGACCCATAACAAGAGAAGAGACTGAAAAGGTAATTTAAAAAATACCCAACAAAACAAAGCCCTGGCCCAGATGGCTTCACTGGAGAAGTCTACCAAACATTCAGAGAAGAGCATACACCAGTACTACTCAAACTATTTCAAAACATAGAAATGGAAAGGATACTTTCAAATTCATTCTATGAAGCCAGCATAACCCTGATACCAAAACCAGGCAAAGATACTACAAAAAAAGAAAATCACAGACTAATATCTCTCATGAATATAGACGTAAAAATTCTCAACAAAATTCTAGCCGATAAAATTCAGCAGCATATAAAAAAGATAATACACCATGACCAAGCAGAATTCATAGCAGGTATGCAAGGATGATTCAACATTAGAAAATCAATCAACATACTCCACCACATAAATAGAAGAATCACATGTTCATCTCAATTGACACAGAAAAACAATTGACAGTCCCACACCCATTCTGTTAAAAACTCTTAATAACATAAGAATAGAAGGGGAATTCTTCAACATAATAAAGGACATCTATACAAAACCAACAGCCAACATAATTCTTTATGGGGACAGGCTGAAAACATTCCCCTTGAGAAGGGGAACAAGACAAGGATGCTGTTTATCACCACTCCTATTTAACATTGTCCTGGAAATCTTAGCTAGAGCAATAAGGCAAGAACAGAAGTAAAGTTCATCCAAATTGGTAACAAAGAAGTAAAACTGTCCCTATTTGTGGATGATATGATACTATACATAGAAAACCCAAAAGACTCTGTGAGAAAATTACTGGAACTAATGGAAAGATTCAGCAAAGTAGCAGAATACAAGACAAACTTAGAAAAATCAGTTGGATTCTTATAGACCAATAAAGAGAACTATGAAAAGAAAATCAGGAAAACAATACTATTTGTAATAGCCCCTAAAAAAATAAAATACTTAGGAATAAATTTAGCCAGGGACATAAAAAATACTATATGAAGAAAACTACAAAACACTACTGCAAGAAACCAAAAGATACCTACTTAAATGCAAAAACGTACCATGCTCATGGATAGGTAGACTTAATGTTGTGAAAATGTCAATTCTACCTGAAGCGATCTACAAATACAATGCAAACCCGATCCAAATACCAGCAGCATTCTTTAAACAGATGGAAAAACTAATCATTAACTTTATATTGAAAGGAAAGAGGCCCCAGATAAGTAAGGCACTATTGAAGAAGAATAAAGTAGGAGGACTCACAGTACCTGCCCTCAGAACCTACTATACAGCTATGGTAGTCAATACAGCTTGGTACTGGTACAATGACAGACACATTGACCAATGGAACAGAATTGAGAACCCAGATGGAAATCCATCCACCTACAGTCACTTGATCTTCGACAAAGGCCCCAAGTCCATTAAATGGAGAAAAGACAGTCTTTTTAACAAATGGTGTGGGCAAAACCAGATGTCCGTCTGCAAAAAAATGAAACAGGACCCGTACTTCATACCATACACAAAAACTAATTCAAAAGGAACAAAGACCTAAATATAAAAAACAAAAACTATGAAGATCATAGAAGAAAAAATAGGGTCAACTCTAGAGGTCCTAATGCTCAGCATTAACAGGACACAAACCATAACCAACAACACAAAAACTCCAGAAGATAACCTAGATAACTGGGATCTTCTAAAGATAAAACTACTTATGCTCATCCAAAGACTTCACCAAAAGAGTAAAAAGAGAATCTACAGACTGGGAAAAAATTTTTGGACATTACAAGTCAGACAAAGGTGTAATCTATAAATCTACAAGAAAATCCAACACCTCTAGAACAAAAAGACAAATAACCAAATTAAAATGTGGGCAAAAGATATGAACAGACACTTCACCAAGGAAGACATTCAAGAGGCTAACAGATACATGAGGAAACGCTCACAATCACTAGCCATTAGAGAAATGCAAATCAAAACCACAATGAGATACCATCTCACTCCCACATTACTGGCATGAATCAAAAAAACAGAAAATAACAAATGTTGGAGAGGCTCTGGGGAGATTGAAACTCTTATGCACCGCTGCTGGGAATGCAAAATGGTACAACCATTTTGGAAACAGATATGGCGCTTCCTTAAGAAGCTAGAAATAGAAATACCATATGATCCAGCAATCCCACTCCTAGGAATATATCCTAGAGAAATAAGAGCCGTCACACGAATAGACATATGCACACCCATGTTCACTGCAGCATTGTTCACAGTATCAAAAAGATAGAAACAACCTAGGTGTCCATCAGCAGATGAATGGATAAACAAACTATGGTACATACACACAATGGAATACTATGCAATGATAAAGAACTCTGATGAATCTGTGAAGCATCTCACAACATGGATGAATCTGGAAGGCATTATGTTGAGTGAAATAAGTCAATCACAAAAGGACAAATATTGTATAAGACCACTACGGTAAAATCTTATGAAACGGTTTACACACAAAAAGAAATAATCATTGATGGTTACGAGGGAGGGGAGGGGAGGGGAGGAGTGGGAGGAAAAACACTAAATAGACCATAGATAAGTGGTAACTTTGGTGAAAGGTAAGACAGTACACAATACTGAGGAAGCCAGCACAACTTGTCCAAGGCAAAGTCATGGAAGCTCCATAGACACATCCAAACTCCCTGAGAGACCACATTACTGGTCTGAGGACTGTGGGGACCATGGTCTCTGGCAACATCTAGCTCAATTGGCATAACACAGTTTATAAAGAAAATGTTTTACATTCTACTTTGGTGAGTAGCATCTGGGGTCTTAAAAGCTTGTGAGCAGCCATCTAAGATACTCCACAGGTCCCACCTAGTCTGGAGCAAGGGAGAAAGAAGGAAACCAAAGACACAAGGGAAAGATTTGTCCAAAGGACTAATGGGCTACAACTACCACAGCCTCCACCAGACTGTGTCTAGCACTAGATGGTGCCCGGCTACCATAAACTGACTGCTCTGACACAGATCACAATAGAGGGTCCCAGACAGAGCTGGAGAAAAATGTAGAACAAAATTCTAACTCACAAAAAATAAATGAATAAATAAAGACCAGACTTACTGGTCTGACATAGACTGGAGAAACCCCAACAGTATGGCCCCCAGACACCTTTATAGCTCAGTATTGAAGTCACTCCTGAAGTATACCCTTCAGCCAAAGATTAGACAAGCCCATAAAATAAAAAGAGAGTAGATGGGCACACCAGCCCAGGGGCAAGGACAAGAAGGCAGGAGGGGACAGAAAAGCTGGTAATGGGTAACCCAAGGTCGAGAAGGGGAGAGTGTTGACGTGCTGTGGTGTTGACAACCAATGTCACAAAACAATATGTGTATTAATTGTTTAATGAGAAACCAATTTGCTCTGTAAACCTTCATCTAAAGTACAATTTTAAAAATTTAAAAAACAAAAAGTATATTCAGAAATATTGTGTGGCAAAATGCTAATAATTAGTGCATCTAAGTGAAGAAAAAATTTTACTTGCTTGTGATATTAATAATACTGTTTGATAACTTCCATATTCTGTTGGATCACCTTTCTTTGAAATGGGCACAAATATGAATCTCTTCCAGTTGGCTGGCCAGGTAGCTGTCTTCCAAATTTCTTGGCATATGGAATGGAAAGAGGCACCAAATAGCTAAAGCAGTCTTGAAAGAGAACAACAAAGTAGAAGGTCTCATGCTTCCTGATTTTAAAACATATTATACAGCTATAGTTAACAAAACAGCCTGTTACTGGTATAAAAGTAGACACATAAACCAATGCAATAGAATTGAGAGTCCAGAAATAAACCCACACATCTATGGTAAATTGATTTTTAACAAGTATGCTAAGTCCATTCATGGAGAAAGAAGATTCTCTTCAATAAATGATATTGGGAAAATTGAATTTCCACATGCAGAAAAATGAAATAGGATCCATGCCTCGCACCACACATAAAAACAAATTCAAGCTCTTTCCCTGTCACGGCCAAGTTGTGCAGAGGCCTGGGTGTGTTCAAGATTCAGCTCCACCTGTAACCCACTGCCATGGCCAAGGAAGGCATTGCTGCTGGAGGTGTAATGGACGTTAATACTGCTTTACAAGAGGTGCTGAAGACCGCCATCATCCACGATGGCCTAGCACGAGGAATCCCCGAAGCTGCCAAAGCCTTGTACAAGTACATGTGTCAGTCTAAATACCGTGGGTTGTTGCAATCAGGACACAACTTCAGCCAAGGGAAGAAAGCATGAAGTTCATGGTGTTAGTACAAGTTTTCTGAATAGCATTCATTCTACAGGAAACCTAGGAAAAGATGCCAAGCCCATCTTTGCGTGCTTGCATCCAACTGTGATGAGCCTGTGTATGTCAAGTTGGTAGAGGCCCTTTGTGCTGAACAACAAATCAACTTGATTAAGATTGATGACAACAAGAAACTAGGGGAGTGGGTAGGCCTCTGCAAAATTGACAGAGAGGGAAAACCCCTTAAAGTTTTTGGTTGCAGTTATGTGGTTGTTAAGGACTATGGCAAAGAATCTCAGGCCAAGGATATCATTGAAGAATATTTCAAATGCAAGAAATGAACAAATAAAAAACTTGGCTCTCAAAAAAAATCAAAATAGATTACCTAAATGTGCAAATTAAAACCATAAAATTCTTAGAAGAAAATGCAAAGACAACGCTGTCAGGCCTGACTTTGAACAATGGATTATTTAATATAATAACAAAAGCACAAACACCAAAAGACAAAATAAATACATGGGACCTCACAAAAATTAAAAACTTTCATTTTTCAAACAATTTACCAGAAAGGGAAAGACACGCTATCGACTGGAATAGTATCCAGACACCATATATCCCATAAAAATCTAATAACCAAAATATATATAAAACTCTGACAACAGCAAAAAGGCAAATAACCCAATCATAAGATGGACAAAGGACTTGAATAAATATTTCACCAAAGAGGACATTCAAATGACCACTGAACACATGAAAAGCTTCTAAACGTCATTAGCCATCAAAGAGATGCAAATCAAAACCACAATGAAATACCATTTCACTCCCACTAGGATGGCTAGGGGCCCTGGTGGTGCAGTGGTTAAAAGCTACAGCTGCTAACGAAAAGGTCTAGCAGTTCAATCCACCAGCCACTCCTTGGAAACCCTACTGGGCAGTTCTACTCTGTCCTGTAGGGTCACTATGAGTCGGAATTGACACAACAGCAATGGTTTTTTATAGGTAGAATGGCTAAGATTTAAAAAAAAAAAAAAACAAAATAAGAAATGTCGGCAAGGATGTGGGGTGTCTTAGTCATCTAGTGCTGCTATAACAGAAATACCACAAATGGATAGCTTCAACAAAGAGAAATTTATTCTCTCACAGTCTAGTATGTTACAAGTCCAAATTCAGGGTGTCAGCTCCAGGGGAAGGCTTTCTCTGTCAGCTCTGGGGGAAGGTCCTTGTCATCAGTCTTCCCTCGTTCTGGGAGCATCTCAGCACAGGAACCTCAGGTGCAAAGTTCTCTGCTTCTGGCACTGCTTTCTTGGTATGAGGCCCACATGTCTCTCTGCTCTCTTCTCTCTTTTATATCTCAAAAGAGATTGGCTTAAGAGACTACCTAATCTTGTAGACGTCCTCAATATAACTGCTGCTAATCCATCTTATTACATCATAGTGATAGCATTTACAACACAGAGGGAAATCACATCAGATGATAAAATGGTAGACAATCATATGATACTGGGAATCGTGACCTAGCCAGGTTGACAGATATTTTGGAGGGACACAATTCAATCCATGACATGAGGAAATTGGACCGCTTATCCATTGCTGATAGGAATGCAAAATAGTACAGCCATTGTGGAAAACAGTGTGGCAGTTCCTAAAAAAAACTATAAATAGAACTACCATATGACCCAGAAATTTCACTCCTAAGTATATACCCAAAAGATTTGAAAGCAAAGACTTAAAAAGAGACGTGTACACCAGTGTTCATTGCAGCACTATTCAGAATAGCCAAAAGGTGGAAACAACCTAAATGCTCATCAACAGTTGAATGGATAAACAAAATGTGGTACATACATACAGTGGAATACTCCTCAGCCAGTAGGAGAAATGAAGTCTTGATACATGCTACAATGTGGATGGAGCTTGAAGACATTATGCTGAGTGAAATAAGTCTATCACAAAAGGACAGATATTATATGACCTCACTTATATAAAAAGACAAGAAAAGGCAAATGTATAGAGACCAAAGTTTATTAGTGGTTACCAGAGGAGGGAAGGAGGGAAGGGGAAAGGGAAGGTTAAAGGTGAAGGAAAAATCTCATTAAGGGTAGGCTTGCACAGCTGATTATTATAATTGCTGTCAATAAGTTGTACACCTATTAAAAGTTAAATTGGCAAAATTTTTGTGATACACAGAAATAAACAATTTTTGATGATTACAAGTGAGGGGAGGGGTGGGGAGGGAAAAACATTAACTAGATAGTAGAAAGTGGTAACTTTGGTGAACGTTAAGACAGTACACATTACTGGGGAAGTCAGCACAACTTGACCAAGGCAAATTCATAGAAGCTTCATAGACACATCCAAACTCCCTGAGGGACCAAATGACCGGGCTGAGGACTGGAGACCATGGTCTCAGGGGACATCTAGCTCAATTGTCATAACATAGTTTATAAAGAAAATATTTTACCTCCTACTTTGGTGAGTATCATCTGAGGTCTTAAAAGCTTGTGAGTGGCCATCTAAGATACTCCATTGGTCCCACCCCATCTGGAGCAAGGGAGAATGAAGAAAACCAAAGACACAAGGGAAAGATTAGTCAAAAGGACCAGTGGCCCACAACTACCACAGCCTCCACCAGACTGAGTCCAGCAGAACTAGATGTTGCCCGGCTACCACCACTGACTGCTCTGACAGGGATCACAATAGAAGTTCTCAAACAGAGCTGGAGAAAAATGTAGAACTCACAAAAAAGGACCAAACTCACTGGTCTGACAGAGACTGGAGAAACTCCGAGAGTATGGCCCCCAGACATCCTTTCGACTCAGTACTGAAGTCACTCCTGAGGTTCACCCTTCAGCCAAAGATTAGACAGGTCTGTAAAGCAAACAGTAATACATGTAGCTCAACCATGTATGCCATACTAAATGGGCACACCAGCCCGGGGGCAAGGACAAGAAGGCAGAAGGGGACAGAAAAGCTGGATGAATGGAAATGGGGAACCCAAGTTCGAGAAGGGGAGAGTGTTAACGCATCACAGGGTTGGCAACCAATGTCACAAAACAATATGTGTATTAACTGTTTAATGAGAAACTAATTTGCTCTGTAAACCTTCATCTAAAGCACAATAAAAATAATTTTTTGTGTGATAGATTTATTTACAACAATGACAAAAAAAAAAGGAGGGTAGCTGCTGAGGCTGCTAATGTACAACCAAACACCTCATGCGATTTGGTTCCTCGGTTTGGAGGTTTTGTTGTGGTTGTCAGGTGCCATCAAGTCAGTTCTGACATATACTGACATGTACCCTATGTACAACAGAACGAAACACTGCCCGGTCCTGCGCCATGCTCACAGTCATTGTTATGTAGCCAGTTTCAATCCATCTCATTGAGTGTCTTCCTCTTTTTTGCTGACCCTCTACTTTACTAAGCATGATGTCCTTCTCCAGGGACTGATCCCTCCTGATAAAATGCCCAGTACATGAGACAAAGTTTGGAGGTTTAGGGTCATGGTTCCATGGAACATCCCAGTTAATTGGCCTACTAATGTCTTTAGTGCTTCTGTTCTACCTCTTAGTTCATTGTGTAGTGCTTGGGATCTTAAAAGCTTGCAAGCAACCATCCAAGGCACAACAATTGGTCTCTATTTATCTGGAGCAAAAGAGGAAGAAGGAGAGTTAGGAATAGAAGGATATGTAATGTGTGGCTAATTGCCTCTGTGAATAACTGCCTCCTTTGCCATGAGACCAGAAGAACTGGATGGTGCCTGGCTACCATTACTGAACATTTTGATCAAGGATTCTATAGAGGAAACCTGATCCAAAGCAGGAAAATGCAGAACAGAATTTCAAATTTTCATGGACTCCAGCCTTTCTGGAGCCAAGGGGGCTGGATGAACCCCTGAAACTATTGCCCTGAGAATAATCTTTAATACTTAAACCAGAAATATCCCCTGAAGTCTTCTTAACACCAAGGCTTTGAACCATTCATTCCAATTCGAACACCTGCTGAGAATTTGCATTTCTAACAAGTTCCCAGGCAATGCTAATGTTACTGGTTAGGGAACAATCTGAGAACCACTGGTAGAGCAGTGGTTCTCAAATTTTATTATACATAACAACCACCTGTGGATCTTGTTAAACTGTACATTTTGATTCATTATCTCTGGGGTGTAAATGCAAATTATCATCATGGCTTTGAACCAGAATGAACCGGTTTGAACCAGAATGAACCGATTTGAAGCCCTGCTTAATAACAAACAATAGTTTAACTTAACTAGTGTTATGGATTGAACTGTGTCCACCAAAACTATGTGTTTTAAATCCTAACCTCTATGCCTGTGGTTATAATCCCATTTAGGAATAGGTTCTTTGTTATGCAAATGAGACAGGATTAGTGTAGGGTGTGTCTTGAGTTAATCTCTTTTGAGATATAAAAGAGATTAAACAAGCAAGTGACCAAGCAGAGATGGAGGAAAAGAGATGCCAAGCCACATAAAGATTGCCCAGAGGCAGAAGCTCAGAAGAGATAAGGACCTTCCTCGAGAGCTTACACAGAGAGAAAGCCTTCCCCTAGAGTTGGCACCCTGAATTCAGACTTCTAGTCTCTTAAACTGTGAGAAAATAAATTTCTGTTTGTTAAAGCCATCCACTCAGGGGTGGATTATCCAGCAGGCAAGGTAAGCACAGGGCTTACCTTGCTTACCAGATCATCTATAGTGAACAATTTCACATTTTCTAGCCACATCAAAGATTCTACTTCTAGGTATGGCTGGCATCTCTCTCCCAACCCCACAGCACCTTCCTACAGAATCAAAACCTCTTTTCAAATTTTCAATCCCAACCGGGGTAGATGACCCAGTAAGCAAGGTAAGCATGGGCTTACTTGTGCATACTTACTAATCTGTAGTTAACAATTGCACATTTTTGATGTGGTAAAACCCATGTGCAGTTGTTCACTACAGATGATCTGGTAAGCGAGGTAAACACCATGCTTCCTTGCCTATTGGATAATCTGCCCCTGCATCCACTTGTGGTATTTCTAGTATAGCAGCACTAGATAACTAAGACAACTAGTAAAGAATGCCTGCCTTGAGCATTGTGCTCTTTTAAGATCTATCCATATGGCATCAGATTTGACAACCAAACATGTTGCCATCAAGTCGATTCCAACTCATAGTGACCTTATAAGACAGAGTAGTACTGCCCCATAGGGTTTCCAAGGAGCAGCTGGTGGACTTCAACTGCCGACCTTTTGGTTAGCAGCCATAGCTCTTAACCACTGTGCTACCCGGGCTCCAGATTGACAACAGCAACTCGAAAGATTAGATCGGAACCTTAGGGGGCAGTGAGTTTATGTTAATGGGGGAGTAATAACTCAGAAAAGGAGGGTGAGAATGGTTGCACAACTCGAAGAATGTAATCAGTGTCTCTGAATTGTACATGTGGAGACTTAAATTGGTGTGTGTTTTGCTGTGTGTATTCTCAACAGCAAAATAATTTTAAAAAAGTATATTATAGTATAAATCTGTTTTTTATTATGTCCTTTTACAGATGTGCTTTGTTTCCTACTTAGTGTGCCTCTTCTTGACTCTAATTCACAAGATTATTGCTTCACAGTATGATTATGTGCATGGTCACAGAAACAGTAGTTTCTCTGTTGATGTTTGCTAAAAAAGGATGTAACCTGGCAATCCTACCATGTTACTCTGTTCAAAAAGTAGAAGCTATCTCTGAAAGTATCTGTAGATTCATCATTATATAAAATTAGTTTTGTTTTGTGTTTTGTTGTTGTTGTTGTAAATCTATTTCAGACCAGTTTAGCTAGAGAAAGCAAATTGTAGCCTGGGATAAAAACTATGATGGATAAGATTATGGTGTTCAAAAACTGTTTTCTTTTCTTCCTGTAGCATTAGCAATGGAAACACCTGCACACTATCCTTCCATTGCTCTAAAGGCCTTGAAAAGGGCTTTATTGCTCCACAAAAAGAAAGACTCAATCGATGTTTTGAAATACAGGTTAGTAATATAATTCAGCACCTAGTCCAGGCTTTTTCATAGTCAAAAGAGATATAGTCAATGCCCCAGAAGTCATCATTCACACTCAACTGGCCTGACTTAAAGATGACTGGGGGGAGGCACTCGCCTGTAATTCCTGGCCTAAAAAGTCCTCAGAACAATTCTATATTAAGAGTTGCATTACAGACCAAGAATTATTTAGCAAGATTAAGGAGTCTGGTTTTCCCAAAGGAGAAAAAGATGGGGAAATTTTGCTTCTTTGTGTGAGTCTAAGTGTATAACTACTAAGCACTTTTGTTTTAATAATAAACATTCCAAGTGTACAGAGAAATAGAGATTAATATAACAAATATCAATGTATCCATCACCCAAATTTAACAGATGTTAACAATTTGCTATTATTTGCCTCAAATTTTTTTTCTAAGCACCTTTCTTTAAAGACCAATAAGTGCTATACATAATATAAAAATTTTTTATTGGAGACTGTATATGTTTTCTATGCCCAGACACGGGGACAGATTATTCAATAAGCAAGGTAAGCACAGTGCTTACCTTGCTTCCAGATCATCTGTAGTGAACAATTTCACATTTTCTCACCACATCAAAGATTCTGCTTCTAGGTATGGCTGGCATCTGTCTCTCTCCCAACCCCACAGCACCTTCCTACAGAATCAAAGCCTGTTTTCAAATTTACAATCCCTGACAGGGACGGATGACCCAGTAAGCAAGGTAAGCATGGGCTTACTTGTGCTTATTTACTAATCTGTAGTAAACAATTTCTCCTGGGTTTCACATATTATTGGATAATCCACCCCTGCCCAGACATAGGGAAAAATATGTTATGTGATTTTTTTTCTCTGAAAAACTTCATTGCAATCTTCCTATTCTGAGACATAAGAGACAGTTCTTCTGGAATTATTCCCAATTAAAATCCCAATTCCCTTGCCCATTAGAGAATGTAACAAGCTGCTTTAAAGTGCTTGTAAATTGAACCAGCTCACAAATTATAGTAACCAGCCACATCTCCTTAGGGCAGGAAGCTAAAAAAGACTGAAAGACAACTAACTGTAAGCATGATAAAAGGAATGATTGGTCTGCCCCTTTTATAGCTTCAAAAATCTGTCTTCTGAGGTTGGAGGCCAAATAAAATTGAGGCAAGAACAGAGGAGTTGCAAACTGCTTTCCAAAGTGTTTTGAAGCTCTTATAGTCTGTGATGAGATCCAGATTTTTCTTATTTTAGCCATGAAGCCAATGATCTCTTTCCTTATGGGATGAGTTTTTCTGTTTTTGATTTCCAGCAAATGTATGCACAACTTGATTAACCTCTCAGCGCCAGATGGGGTGTCAGATGCAGAGCTGTGTCCCCTGGAAGAAGTTTTCGGCTATTTTGAAGATGCTCTGAGCCTTATTAGCCACACAGTAAGTAAAAAAGTAATATTAAACTTTCAGCTCATTTTAAAGAACTGAAATGTTTTGTGTATTAGAAATTACGTAGAGTGATGCTTTCTAATATGTTTTAGGTTAAATAAAGTCATATTACCATGTAGTTACACACTACAAAATTTCCCTGGGTGTATGAAATGTAAATAAAGTAGAAATTTTCTAAAACAAGTATACTATAGAATAGATCAAAATAGCAGGACCTCCTGGTATTTTTAGTTATTTTGTATTTTCAAAACCTGGTAGAGTCATTACTTTCCCTGTGATGATACTAACCTTTTGAAACAGCTTAATGTTATTCTCACGATTTCTCAGAGGCAGGTGATAGAATAGAAGGAACAATGAAGACCTGTAGTTTAGTCCCTCCTCATCTGTTTTTTGTTGTTTTTTTTCTTCTCAGTGCAGATTTATTCAGTGATTTTTTTAAAGTTTTATTGAAAAATAATTTACATACTATTAAATGTACTCATTGTGTGTGTACAATTCAATGATTTTTAGTAAATTTATAGAGTTGTGCAGCCATCACCACAATCCAGTATTAGAATATTTCCATCACCCGAAAAAGTTCCCTTTTGCACATTTACAGTCAATCCCTGCCCACACCTTCAGCCCTAGGCAACCATTGATCTGCTTTCTGTCTCTATAGATTTTCTTTTCCTGGGCACTTCATATAAATGGAATCATACAATATGTGGTCTCTTATGTCTGGCTGCTTTCAATTGGCATAATGTTTTTGAGGTTCATCAATGTTGTGGCATGTATCTGTATTTTGTTCCTCTTTATTGCCAAATAATATTCCACCGAATGGGTATACCACACTTTGTTTATCCGTCCATCAGTTCATGGACACTTGGGTTGTTTCCACTTTTTAGTTATTATGAATAATGCTGCTAAGAACATTCATGTACAAGTTTTTGTATGGGCAGGTATTTTCCGTTCTCTTGGGTATGTACCTAAGAGTGGAATTTCTGGGTCATATGGTTACTGGTCCAATCTGCAGCCAATCCTGGGGATGGCACAGGACCAGGCAGCATTTTGTTCCATTGTGCATGAGGTCAGTATGTATCAGGGCCAACTCTACTGCAGCTAGCAACAACAACAAAAAGGTTACTCTATGTTTAACTTTTTGAGAAGCTGCAAATTGCTTTCTGAAGTGGCTGATCCATTTTACACTCCCACCAGCCATGTATGAGGATTCCAATTTTTCCACATCCTTGTCAATACTTGTTATTGTCCGTCATTTTTATTATAACATCCTAGTGGGTGTGGAGTGGTATATCATTGTATTTTTAATTTGCATTTCCTTGATGGCTAATGATGTTGATCATCTATTCATGTGCTTATTGACCATTTGTATATTTTATTTGAGAAAATATCTATTCAATTCTTTTGCCCACTTTTAAAAATTGGGTTATTTATCTTCTTATCACTGAGTTGTAAGAGTTCTTTATATATTCTGGATACAAGTCCTTTATCAGATATATGATTTGTAAATATTTTCTCCCAGTCTTTTCATTTTCTTAATGGATCATTTGGAGAGCAAATTCTGAATTTTCATGAAGTCAAATTTATCATTTTTTTTCTTTTATGAGTGGTTCTTTTGGTGTCATATCTAAGAAATCTTTGCCTAACCCAAGTTCACAAAGACTTTCTTCTATGTTTTTTGGTAGAAGTTTTATACTTTTATCTCTTACATTTAGGTCTATGATCCATTTTGAGTGAATTTTCATGTATAATGTGAAGTAAAAATCTAAGTAGCTTTTCACTTATTTGCTTTTTGCATATGGCTAGCCCTTCTCTTCTGTTTGATTTCAGTTTTCTCATTCATAAAATGAGAATAGTACCTTCTCTGATCCTTCACACCGGGGCTGTAAAGATCAACTGAAATAACATATTTGTTGTAAACTTTAACAGCCCATGCACATGTTATTATAAAAACAAAAAGAAAAAAAACCAAACCCGTTGCCGTCAAGTCGATTTCGACTCATAGTGACCCTATAGGACAGAGTAGAGCTGCCCTATAGGGTTTCCAAGGAGTGGCTGGTGGATTCGAACTGCCAACCTTTCTGGTTAGCAGCCGAGCTCTTAACCACTATGCCACCAGGGCTCCATTGTTATTATAAGGGCGCTATAAAACGTTAAGAAAGTTAAATGGCTTGCCTAAAGTTATGTGGAAAGTCATTATTTTGGCCATGTTAATAGCTAAGAATCCTGACTCCATTCTGGGCTCTACTGCTACTTCATATGCAAATATCTGCACACCAGAACAGGTGGTAGAACAATAGAGTAGGGTGACAACATGGTACAAACTACCACTGACCTACAGAAGCTTAGAATTCTCCTTGAACTATGTAATTATGGCTGTGTGAACTTAAGTTTGTTTGTTTTTAAGTTTCGCGTTGAACATTTTGGATATTTTTTTTTTTTTAACTTTTGGGAAAAAGAGTAAATTCCATTTATAAGCTATGAGCCTCATTTGGACTTTCAGGTTTGTTTGCCATAGTAATTTATACACTAAAATGAGGTTATCCTAGAACTCCAAATTGGTTTCTATGCTCTTCTAGTAAGGCCAAAACTTCTCTGAGGATTTTGGTTTTGCCACTTTTATTCTATCTAATACATTACAGTTATAACTGTCTGGCTCTTAGGTTGCTTGTTAGAGAGCTTAATGCTTTTCTTTAGACAAATTTCCCATCCATTATTGCTCATCCCCTGAAACATGATTGGATAGTTAGCTTTTTTATGCAGAGGTGAATTTAATAATCCTCTTGACTCTTTGTATAGTGTATGTTGCTTTTTTCCTGTTTGATTAAATGTGCTATGTGTCTCCTTTATTATTTACTGAGCAAAAACAAAACAAAACCAGTTGCCGTCTAGTCGTTTTCGACTCATGGCAACCCCATGATAACCTTTATTAAGTGCCCACCCCCATACACTGCAAAATGACTGTTGTACAAATATAATGTCTCATGCCTCACATAATAGTGCTTTACAGTTTACAAAGCACTCATATCCATTATTTCACGTGCTCCCCAGCCCCCAGGCCCCACAGCAATTCTATGAAGTAGACAGTGCTAGTATTACTATCTTTGCTTCATAAATGAGGAAAGCAAGATTGAAAAGGTTAAGTTACCAGTTTGTTGTGGTCATATGGTTAATGAATGACAGAGGCAGAACGAAAACCCAAGTCTTCTGCCCTCAGTTACAGGGTTTTTTACACCATAACACACATCTTCTCTACCTGCTTTCTGCTAGGAAATTTCAGTTCAAAGCAGAGGTTCAGGTTGGTCTTTTTGAGTGACTGTAAATGGCATTGTATTTTTATTTTTGGTGTCCATGTTTTCATTTCTAATATATAGAAATACAGTTAATTGTATCCTGCAACCTTGCTGAACTCAGACTTATTGGTTTGATTTTTTTTTGTAGATTCCTTAGCATTTTCTATGTAGACAATCATGTCATCTGAAAATGGGTGCAGTTGTATTTTTTTCCTTTCCAATATATCTGCCTTTTTATTTTCTTTTCTAGCCATATTGCAATGGTAGAACTTCCAGAATCAAGTTGAATAAGAGTGATGAGAGTAGACATTCTTGCCTTGTTCACAGTCTTAGGGGAAAGCTTTCATTCTTTTGTGATTAACTATAATGTTAGCTGTACATTTTTGTAGATGCTCTTTATCAAGTTAAGGAAGTGACCCTCTATTTCTTTTTCTTGAGAGTATCTGCCATAAATTAGTGTTAAATTTTGTCAAACGATTTTTCTGCATTGATTAATATGGTCATGTGAACACAGTGACTGATTTTTAAATAGTGAACCAGCCTTGCATACCTGGAATAAACCCCACTTGGTTATAATGTATAATTTTTTATATATATTGTTGAATTCTGTTTGCTAATAAGGGTTTTTGTGTCTATATTCATCAGCGATATAGTCCGTAGTTTTCTTTTTGTTTACTGTCTTTGTCTGGTGTTGGTATCAGGGTAATTGTAGCTTCATAAAATGCATTGGGATGTGTTATCTTTCTGTTATTGAAATCTAGTTTTATTCTATTGTAAAGAGAGGACACAGCCTGTATGATTTCAGTTATTTAAATTTTTTGAGGTTTGTTTTATGGCTCAGGATATGGTCTTAATATAAGTTCCCTGGGCACTTGAAAGAATGTGTATTCTGCAGTTGTTGGGAAGAGTGTTCTATAAATGTTGATTAGATCCCACTGGTTGATGGTTGTTATGGATTGAATTGTGTCTCCCCAAAAGGTATGTCTAAGTCCTAACCCCTAACCCCTATCTGCGAATGTGACCCTGTTTAGAAATAGAGTTTTTCTTTTGTTATGTAAATGGGGTCATACAGAGTAGGGTGGGTCCTAAACCTAATCCCTTTTAAGTGGTATCTAATAAAGCGAGTACAGACACAGAGTTACACAGCGGAAGACAGAGACCATGTCAGAACCCATCTACAAGCCAAGAAGTGCTAAGAAATGCCCTGGGCTACCAGAAGCTGAGAGAGACAAGAAGAGGACCTTCTCCTAGAGTCAATGACCTGATTTAGACTTCTACCCCCAGAACTGTGAGAAAATAAATTTCTGTTCTTTAAAACTACCCACTTATGGTATTTTTGTTACAGCAGTGCTGGGAAACTAAGACAACGGTGTTGCTGAGTTCTTGGATATCCTTGCTGATTTTCTGCCTAGTTGTTTTATCAATTGTTGAGTGTTGAACTCATCTACTATAACTGTGGATTTATCTATTTATCCTTTCACTTCTATTAGTTTTTGCTTCACATATTCTTCAGCTCTGTTCCAAATCCTACACATTTAGGATTGCTATGTATATTTGGAAAATCTACCCTTTTTATTATTATATAATGTCCCTCTCTGTCTCTGGTAATTTTCTTTGCTTTGAAGTTTACTTTATTTGATATTAATACAGCCACTTCTGCTATCCTTTGATTAATGTTTACATGATATACCCTTTTCTATC